CGAAAAGTTAAGCTTCTTAACCCACTCAAATTGTAGAATAAATCCTGAAGTTTAATTATTGTGAACACGAAAATTTTTTATATTTGGCGACACAGTTTTTTTTAAAGAAATGTATCTCAAACGAAAATTCGGAAATTGTCGTTGCTTAGTTGATAAACAAAATGTTTCAGACGATAAATTTGTCAACAATCACCTTTAGTTCATGTTCTTGTACAATACAATTTCTTGAACCTTCTGGCTGTATTTATTCCTAGTTTTTAGAATGACATGTTTATTTTTGCGCTCGAAATCTGGCTGTAAAGACGCACAATGAAGTCACTTCTTTTTACCGCCATTTTGAGCCTTCGGAAACGTTCGGCACAGCTTCTCATCAAGTTCGCAATACTATTACAGGTCAGTGATTCCACTTTCAAGGAAATTTCCTTTTTCAAGGAAATTTTGACCGAAAAAAGACGTTTCAAGGAAAAAAAAGGAATCAAGGAAATCTAAGGAATTTTTGAAAATTCTAAGGAAATTTAAGGAATTTTTGAATCAACTGATTGAACTGAAATGTTTTGAAGATGAACCTTTCATTAATTTTAAATTATATTACTTTCCTTCGCTCATAACCAATATGTCAGCGTGGAAAAATAAAAAAACCTCTTTCGGAGCCTGTGACTGAGTCAGTGAAATCTAAAATTATTAATGAAACTAAGTAAGTAGGCTGCACACAACCTGAATTTTAGGCAGGTAGGGTGCTGCGTGCAGGCAACCACGTGTTAGCTGCACAGGTTGGCTGTGATGTACCCTGGATTCCAGTGCCTTCGTCAGTAAATAATAAATTGAAACGTCGCGAAGGCTCTGGTTCAACGGGAAGATTCTTTGATTAAACCGCGCCAATCACAAAACAGAATTAGTGGTCTTAGTACAGAATCTATACTAAAAACCACTAATTCTGTTTTGTGATCGGCGCGGTTTAATCAAAGAGTCTTCCCGTTAAACCAGAGCCTTCGCGACGTAACCGACGTTTCAATTTATTATTTACTGTCGAAGGCTCTGGAATCCAGGGTAGCTGTCATGCGAATTTATATGAATTTATTTGTCATGTGAATTTGTTGACTCAGTTAACGTTGAGAACAATATTAAAACTTTGGTATTTTACATTTTAAAGATTTCAAAATTGTTGTGTAAAGGCTTTGTTTTTAAGAGCTGTACGAAAGAAATGTACCATTCTGTTTTTGTCTTACTTTATATAAGTATTAATGATTCTTGTTGCCGAAATATACTTCGGTTAATCAAGGAAATTTCAAGGAAATTACATCCTATTTCAAGGAAATTCAAGGAAATTTTAAAGCAAAATCAAGGAAATTTCAATGATGCGTTGTGGAAACACTGTTACAGGTAAGGTGGACGCATGCGCAGACGTTTTTCCGCGGTGTTGGAATTTGAATATCAATTTCTAAAACAAAAACATGCTTATTAATTGGTCAAAAATTAGTAAAACAAACGAGAAAATATAGCAAATGGGTAGACTAGACATTAATTGAAAGCGTCCTGGCATTTAAAGTATGGAATAAAATATAATTCATGTAAAAAATTGTTGATTTTAACGGATACGACTTCGAAAATTTTTGCAAAATTATTCAAAACAAAAATTCAAACTCAAAAGTTAAGAAAACTCTCGAAAAGTTAAGCTTCTTAACCCACTCAAATTGTAGAATAAATCCTAAAGTTTAATTATTGTGAACACGAAATTTTTTATATTTGGCGACACAGTTTTTTTTAAAGAAATGTATCTCAAACGAAAATTCGGAAATTGTCGTTGCTTAGTTGATAAACAAAATGTTTCAGACGATAAATTTGTCAACAATCACCTTTAGTTCATGTTCTTGTACAATACAATTTCTTGAACCTTCTGGCTGTATTTATTCCTAGTTTTTAGAATGACATGTTTATTTTTGCGCTCGAAATCTGGCTGTAAAGACGCACAATGAAGTCACTCCTTTTTACCGCCATTTTGAACTTTCGGAAACGTTCGGAACAGCTTCTCATCAAGTTCGCAATACTATTACAGGTAAGGTTGACTCATGCGCAGACGTTTTTCCGCGGTGTTGCTCCCCCACGTACTGATGGAATGTGTTGATGCGCAGAACGGACTTTACAGCATCTTTAAGGGTTGGGTAATAAAATTTATGTATTCCAAGGGGAGCGTGAAAACACATAAAAATACCTGTACAATTGATGATTCCCCTTATTACGTTTTCGTAGCGTTTTGCATTGTGGTTATAGTGGTATCACTGATAAAGATAGCGGCCTCGAATGAATATATTGAATGTTTTCGCGAATATTTTGCTGTTGGCTATCGCGCACGGCGCACCTGGCCTTAGCTTTTTTTTAAAGTTCTTGCACGGGTCAGGACAAAAGGTAAGCCATCTTGAATATCAGTGATACCACTATAACCACAATGCAAAGCGCTACGAAAACGTAATAAGGGGAATCATCAATTAGACGATTAGGTCAGATTAGCATCAGAAATTAAAGCGGCGTTAAATGTATTTAATTTTGAAGAATTTCTTAGCTCGCGCGGTAAGCTATTCCAGAGTTTTGCTCCACTATAACTTGTGCTTTTTTAAATACTCAGTTGTAGGTTTGGAGAGGTAGTACTGAAGGTTTGAGTTGCTTGCGTAAGTTATAGTTGTGTTGAGGAATAAATGGCTTTTCAAATGCTTCGGTCAGAATCGTTTTAGCCTTAATAAGCTTTCGTACATTGATACGAGGAGTTAAACAACAGAGCAAGCTCCAATCAAAGACCGAATAGCTCGTACTTGCTCATGAACAATTTTATACACGAGTCTGGCTTTTATAGCAAGTCTACGTTGCTTCAGCGTTTTCCAATTGAAGATCGTTTAAGGCTGCTTCAGATTGGCCTTGTCCATTTCTCTATCCTAATATGACCCTGACAGCTCTATTTTTGAGTCTCTGGAATCTATCCGAAATGGGTTTTTCTAATTGGCACATCCGAACCATCAACTATTGGTATAGGGCTTTCAACAGAGCTTTTAAGAGGACCCTACATTTTCGAATTGGTATACCTTTCCGGCTGAAATCGAAGGTAAAACTATTATGAAATTACTATCTATCAAATACTGTTACGACATATTACTGACAGCTTTTCACCATTTGATATGCTACAAACAGCTAATTATAATATATTTTAATATTTATATAATATAGTTTGTGTTATTTTGTACATTGTTGGTAGCCTTTGTACCGTTATTGCTATATTTGATTTTTGTTTGGAATTAACAAAGTATGCCTGTTTTCGGCATCCTTATAACCACGCTTTGTGGCTATAAAATACTCCTCTTTTCACCATAGCTCTTAGCCACGATTTTGCAGCATTTGGCTACATAAAAAATGCAGTGTGCTGCAAGGGTGGGTCAGTTGACTACAAAATATTTGTAGTTCGCTATAACTACAGCTATACTTTAAAAATATGTAGTCAGCTACAACTACTGCTACTTTTGAACAAAGGTAGTTCGCTACTGACTACAGCTACTGCTTAAAAAATGTAGGGAACTATTTCGCTACGCTATATTTTTTAGTTTTACTGAATCAGAATCTACTAACTAGGCTGTAATGTAACCTATAACAAATCGACTTACGAATAGCAACAGTGAACACATAGCAACATTTTTGTAAGCCGACTATACAGTGCCGGTTCAGGAGTGCAAATTGACTTTTGTCGTTTTGAGTATTTATTTAAACAGACCGTGTTTGAATATCATACTATTCTATCAAGTTGCTAACAATTTTAAAAAGTAGCGAATAGCGGTTCGCTGTTTGAAAAGTAGTCAATTACTTGGCTACTTTTAGGCAAAATGTAGTTCGCTATAACTACAGCTACTGTTTTAAAAAAGTAGTCAAAAACTACTGGCTACTTGAAAATTGTAGTTAGCGAACTACAACTACTTCGCTACTATCCACCGTTGGTGTTCTGTAGTTTCATTGGCAGTATCAGTCTGACAGTCTCAGCGTTGTATCCGGAGGTATGAACTATAGCAGTTTACGGAAAGTAAGCACATAAAAATGCAGTATCCTAGGCAGTGTTCGGTTACTTTATCAGCCATGGCTATAAAGTATACCGGTCAAATTTTAGCCACGGTTTTATAGCGTTTGTTTGGAGAGCCGTATATGCGATAATGCTGTAGTTTCGTGAATGGTATCTCAGCTGTAGCTGGGGGTATCATAAATTCCACAAGAAAATCATGCTTTTCTAAAACTCGTTTGATAACCTGATACAAGTCTTCACAATATCGGCTATTTTTCGGGTGCTCTTTCTCCGGTAACGAAATTCCCAGTGTCCTTTTTCCGACCACAAACAGCGATGTACAAAAAAAAGTTGTAATACGAGCGGTTTTGCATTTAGGAATTCTGTGTGATGCATGACGGCGCAAAACTAGCACAAAACTACTCGAAATAACTTTATTTCTTGTGCAATGTTTTGAGTAACTAATGCAAAATTGCAGAACGTCTTTTAAAGTGATTTTGAGCGATTTTTTCGCAAGTTTTTAAACCCAGATTTTACTACACGTTTGATGTTGCGGACGTTTGAATCAACTGAGCGATAACAAATAGCTCATGCTGTGAAAACAAGCGAACAATTTACTCGGCTCACTTCAAGTTTGAAACGTTCCTGTCGGCTTAAAAATATGCTTTGAAATACAAGCTTTAAAATTTAAGGATCTTGGCAAATTCGCTAAGGTTTTAACCGAACGTTAGTGAAATTTTTGCGTAGAAATTGTTGCTATTTGGTGTAAAAATTGCTCACATTAGATTGCAACTTTGCTGCGTGGAAGTGTCATAAACCGGCTGGATACCGCATTACGGATTGTCATGTAAATTGCGATTATAGCTTTTTGGGGTAATTAAAATCAGTTCACGCGATAGGCTCACTTTCTCGGCTGTTGGCGTTGCGTTTGGAGCTAAGTTTTGAACGCGTTTTAAACCTCGAAGCAACAATGTCGCTTACGGACGACGAAATAGGCGAAATTAAGGACACTTTTTTGATGTTCGATAAGAAAGGGGACGAAAAGGTAGCTGTTGACGAGGTCGGTGACATAATGCGATCTTGTGGGCTCAATCCAGTAGGAGCAGATATCGATAAGGTTGTGGAAGAGCTGGGCAAAGGGACTCAAGTCGACTTCGAGCAGTACCTTGGTTTCCACGAGGAATGCGCTAAAAAGGGGGACTCCGGTACACTTGCCGCGTTTATGGAAGCCTGGAAGTGTTTCGATCACGAAGGAAATGGTTTCGTGGGCAACGCAGAAATTCGCCATGTTTTGACATCGATGGCAGATACCATGACAGACGAGGACGTAGACGCGATACTCGAAGGCAAAGAAGACGAGGAAGGCCTGATAAATTACGAAGAATTTAGTAAATTTATCATGTCTGGTTAAACTCTGCGAGGAAAAACGTATTAGACTCTTGTAGTTGACTATTTTCTGCAAACAGACGCGCGCTTATATGATGTTTGTTCGTCACGTTGCATGCTGACGCTGTAGTTTTTTTTATATATTTTTTCTGTTTTAGATTTTTATGAACTAACAATTTAACCAACTTTTTATTTTGCTAAATTAATACTGTATGGTTAAACCAGGTCGATTTGAAGTATTTAACAATACATTCTATGAACAGACGAACAGAATTTAGAAATTGGGCGTGAATCCCATTACTCGGTTTTGACATTAATCTTGCACTATCTAAATTTTGACAATCTTTTTGTAACGATAATTTGTGTATTTTAAATGTGTATAAATTAGTACATTCTGCTTGTATGAAGTCTGCGTACTTTTTGTACAAACGCATGGGTTCAGTTTGCAGCTTAAATTCGCGGTCGCCAAATTTGGGCAATTTTTGAGCATGCGTAAAGGCCGATTTAGGGGCTGATTACATGGAGAGTTTTCAGCCCGGGCTGAGTTTCATCCCGGTTTCCCGTGCTGAAATTTCAGCTCAGCCCGGCCTAAGGATAAAATCCTATTAGCCATTCCGAAGTTGATGAGAGGACTGGGGACGAGTGTTAAAAAGTGCCCAAATTAAGAAATGAACCAAATCACCTCAAAATTAGTAAGTATACAGTATTTGAAGACGTTTACATGGATACCCTTCGAATAATAAGCTTTCGAAAATCGCGATATTTACTATGAAATGTACTGTAATTTTTGTTTTTGGGACGCGCGTCCCAAAAACAATCTTTTAATCAGTAATATCACAATTTTCGAAAGCTTATTATTCGAATGGTATTAATGTAAACGTCTTCAAACTTTGTATACTTACTAATTTTGAAGTGGTCTTTTTAGTGATTTGGTTCAGTTCTTAATTTGGGCACTTTTTAACACTCGTTCCCAGTCCACTCATCAACTTCGGAATGGCTATTACATGACAGAAATTTCAGTCCGGGATGAGTTTCAGCCCGGTTAAAGGTACCCAGCAGTCCCCGGGCTGAAACTGTAATCGACGAGAAATTTCAACCCGGGTTGAAAAAACAGCGTTTTTAATTGGCTTTATTTCTATCTGTTGTATTTTTAAATGCAACCACAGTCTCGCAGAAGTCAAATAATAGACATGAACAACATTTTAAATTCTTCGAAGAAGCGGAATAGCCCCATTTTGAGACTTGATCGTTTCAGCCCGGGCTGAGATTTCACCTCGGTTTGAACTGAAATTCTAACTCATCCCGGGCTGAAATTTGCCATGTAATCATGAAACAATTTCAGCTCGGTTAACCGGGTTGAAATTCAGCCGGGGCTGAAAACTCCCCATGTAATCAGCCCCTTACATTATTACACAACTTTAGCCTAAAACTGTCGCATGCAACCTGTTTACAACTTGAGTTGTACTGTGTAAATCAAGCTCACGATACGTCGATACGCTGTCGTAGGTGAGTAATTGTGTGCTTGATTTACACAGTACAACTCAAGTCGTAAAACACCCCAAAGGACTTGAAGGTTTTACTCTGTTGAGTGTTGGACCGTGGCAGTTTTTGGACCTTTCACCTTTTGACTAAAATTTAGATTTCAACAAGTCTAGACAAAACTTTTATCACAGCTTGAAAGAGCATCACAAAATTAGTAATATTCCGAAGTTTCGTTGCGAAATGTTGTAAAATGCGGATAATATAGCCTTG